GGTTATTAAGCCTCTTATTAAGAAACCACAACTAGATCCTAGTGAACTGGCAAATTACAGACCCATCTCAAATCTTCCTTTTATGTCTAAAATTTTAGAAAAAATTGTGTCTGCTCAATTGTGCTCCTTCCTGCAAAAAAAATTATCTCTATGAAGAATTTCACAGAATTTCAAGGTCAGAGTGAAGAATTAGGCCCCAACATAGCACAGAAACTGCACTTGTTAAAATTACAAATGACTTGCTTCTTGCGTCAGACCAAGGCTGCATCTCATTGCTAGTTTTACTTGATCTTAGGGCTGCGTTCAACACTATAGATCATGACATACTCATAGATCGATTACAAAACTATACAGGTATTCAAGGGCAGGCTTTAAGATGGTTTAGATCCTACCTGTCCGATCGCTACCATTTAAATGATTTAAATGGGGAGTCATCATGTAAAAGATTGGATGACCAATAATTTTCTCCTATTAAATTCGGATAAGACAGAGATATTACTTATTGGACCAAAAGACAGTACACAGAATCTCTTGGATTACAATTTGCAACTAGACGGATATACTGTTACTTCCTCTACAGCCAAAAATCTAGGTGTTATATTAAATAGCAACTTGTCTTTGAAAATCATATTTCCCATGTTAAAACAGCATTCTTCCATCTTAGAAACATTACCAAGTTATGAAACATGTTACCTGTTTCTGATGCAGAAAAGCTAGTTCATGCATTCATGTCCTCTAGACTGGACTATCGTAATGCACTGTTAGGTGGTTGTCCTGCATCTTCAATAAAAAAGCTACAGGTAGTACAAAATGCAGCGGCTAGACTCCTTACCAGGTCAAGAAAATATGATCATATTACCCCAATTTTACAGTCTCTGCACTGGCTACCTATTAAGTTCCGTATCAGTTACAAAATATTATTACTTGCCTATAAGGCCCTTAATGGGTTAGCTCCTGCGTACCTAACTAGTCTTCTACCACGCTACAATCCATCACGCTCCCTTAGGTCGCAAAACTCTGGACTTTTGGTAGTACCTAGGATAGCAAAGTCCACTAAAGGAGGTAGAGCTTTTTCGCATTTGGCTCCCAAACTCTAGAATAGCCTTCCTGATAACATTCGGGGTTCAGACACACTCTATCTCTTTAAATCTAGATTAAAGACACCTCTCTTGTACCGCAGTTATATCTGATTCTGAGTATGGGTCACCATACTTGGCCACATGTCATGTCACTCACTTAAATGCGCATTATTATTCTTTAGCTTGGATTAAACAAATTAAGTTTACTTGGTTGGAACAGCAGCTACGCTAATTATGTCTCTATTTGTTTCTCTGTTTCTGGGATTCCAGAACTAGTTCCTAACTAGGATTAACACAAGCTTCAGTCTGGATCCAGAACACCTGAGAAGAGATGATGCCAACCTCTCAGAGGACCTCAGATGATGCCAACCCTGAAAAAACATACAGAACTACCAAATTTTGCTATAAGTTTGATTGCATCATATAATAATTGCTGTTAATAGTGTTCATCGTCTGTTTGATTACGTCTTTACTTGATTTTTCCGTACATTTCTGCCATATGTACATAAACTGACAGTCACCACTGATAAGCTACAACTAAATATTGTAGAAACTTAATTTTCTGTAAAGTTGCTTTGCAACGATTTGTATCATAAAAAGCGCTATAGAAATAAACTTGAATTGAATATATGAAACTTCATTTTTCAGACTGCTGATTTGGGTCAATCACAATCCCTATTGCACTCTCTGTCGCCTTGTTTCACAGCAAGTCAGATGGAGTACAGTGCAGGCTGCTCGTCAGGAGCACCAGTTCCACGTCCCTCGCTGCACCGGGTACAGGTTTCAAAGACGCGCCACAGGAGTGCATTATCATGCATCTGGTGGCGGACACACAGTCAGCTCATTCCCCAAATTTCAGCATTTCCATCATGAAATCATTTAAAATAATAAAGGCGACGAGATTCGTCTCATCACTGTAGCAGCCAAGTGGAAAATAACTTTGCATTTCAAATGGCTTTTCATAAAGGAGACAGGCGGCTTCTCTTTTGTCAGATTAGTGCACTAGAACCTTCAGAATGGGAATGAAGGGAGTGTGTGAAAGCACATACTCACAATCAATGACAGTATGTGGAGACAGAAAGAGCTCAAAATCAATGCGTGTGTAACCTGCACCTATCGTTCGAGGGGCAAGCAATATTTGGCTACTAATTACCCAGTATTCACCCTACTTATAACATACACAACAGTTCCTCCTGTTCGAGTAGGTCAAAAGGGATCATGGCTGGAGGAGAAAGAACCAGATTATTCCCTGGTTTGGGCTTCTGCAAAGCTGCAGATCCTGCAAAAACAAGCCAGTATCAACCTGGCACTGACACCCCACTCCATTTCATAAGGTACAGCAGCCGTGATTATGATCTGAATCGGAGTGGGCGGCTTACCATGAACATGGCTCTGAAGTTGCTGAGGTCAGTGAAGAGTTCCTCCACGGAGGTCTTCTTGGAGTCGATGGCGAAATACTCCAGCATGTTGAGGTAAAGGGTCATCATATTACTGTGCATGATCACCAGCTTCAGGTACTGATCTCTCGCCTGCATAGAGAACCTGTGAGGAATCATTGTCAAGGACTTCATCTAAGAGGAAACTAGTATTGGAAAGTGAATGTGCAAATATGTTGTCAAATTTTCATAACATTTTCCATAAAAAAAATTAAAGAATACATTTTCTTCTGGATTTTTAAACTTTAGTCTAAGGAAAAATCATCCTAACTTAAAAGTAGATAAATACACCAGCAGTGGTTTATGCAACTGTTATTTAAATTTCAAGTTTATTAGTACAATGCACTCTTCATTTCAAAAAGGAAAACTGTTAATCTTTTAACAGGTCACCATTTGGTAATGATGCTGTGAAATGCCACAGCTGGAAGTGTAAAAATAGTTTCTGCTCAGAATGAACCAAACTGAAAATTAATTTTAAATCACTGATCACATGACAACATTCCCATAATGCAACACTAACTGCAGAGCTGTGCAACCAGCACATGCAAAAACTTTAGTGAAAAGTTTTAGTGAACTTTAGTAAAAAAAAAAAAAAACCCAAAACAAACCAATTAATAAAGACACACATATATATAGCCCTACATAGAAAGTTCATTTTAATTATGATTAAACCTGCTGCACTTGCACAGATCCGAGTGCTGTATCGGTGACTGCTCTTTAGCCAATTAAAACTGTGTCTGTGTGTACAGGAGCCAATGCAAAACATGTAATTTATTGGGAAAATATGTATACACACAGGCATTTTGTTCATCAACAAACATAATTATAGATGGTTAAAAACTACATCCAGTGAATATGCATTTAGATCTAATGGCAGTATGTAGACTGCAAATCTCTGCAAAGGCCATGTTTTTATGGTGACCTTTATGGCCACACTGAACACCTATGAATTCATTCAGATCTTAGCAAGACTAGAAACTTTCTGAAGATAATGTGAGTAGTGCTTTGTGCAAAACTCATCACCACAATGACGACACGATTGCCTACTGGCTCAAGGTCCATCCATATGATTTACATTTACATGTATGCATTTGACTTTATCCAAAGTAACTTACATTGCATTCAAGGAATACATCAGTTAATGCTTTCTTTAGAAATCAAAGCCATGGCCTTGGCGTTGTTACTGCCATGCTAGCGCTATACTGTTTGAGCTGCAGGAATAATATTCTGGTCTCTAAATGTTGCTCAGGTCCCTCAGTGCAAATCTATGAAATTATTTATGCTCCGCCTGTACTATCTTCAGCTATGCAAAAACTGCTTAGCATGTCACACAATTTGAGGTATCATTCTCGTTTGTAGCACAAATTACGTAAAATGAGCTAAACACCTAAATTTAAATGAACCCCTAACACAAAGTATAAGTAATATTAATAGCTGCAAATGACACTAATTAACACCCTACATGTGATCACTTACATATCAAATGCACACACTGTCATATAACATGCAAGAGTGCACAGAAATATCACATACTTTGAACATAGGTGGTGTGAGAAAGAGGGATGGGCAATAATCTTTGATGAAGATCAAAGTTTCCCTCTTGGAATGGAAAGTAAAACCATCTACATCAGCAGACAAAGAAAGAAACAAAGGCCAAAAGGAGAATATTTAAATACATAGATAAGTGTCCTTGGGTTTAGATTTTTTTTTTACAGTATATAAACAAAAGGGCTCAGAAAAAAGCTTAAATATTCTGATTAGTTACTGCTGAATGAATGAAGTGTTTCACTAGAATGTATGGATATAAAAGCACAACTGACATACAACCCACAGATTCACTCTCAAGAGCAAAGAAACTTTTCATTGCACACTCAGCCTTAGCTTCATTGAGCCACATCAAATGTATATAACATATTATTATTGTCTATAACATTTCTCACACAAGCACGCACATACATGCACTGACACTGTGACTCTCACACATGCACACACTAGCATGAGAGAATCTGGGTCTAATCTATGCTGTGAAGTCAGAAATGCCTATGCAAAGAGGGCAAGCTTTACTCCAAATATCATAGCATTATTTTGATGATAATTGATATCATCGATTTTGATAATGTGTAATTAGTAATTAATCCAGTTTAAAGCTGGTGCCTCACATCACACTAAAAAAAAAAAAAAAAATCTTTGGATCAACATCCAAAAAAGGTTTTCTTTTATACCGGCATTAGCTTTAGAGTGTATGTGTGTGTCTGTGTTTATGAGGTGTGTGTACGAGCTGGCCGCGGGGTGAACTGTTCAGTAGGTTGTGCTCTCAGGTTGACTTGTGAACGGCACCACAACAGCCCCTGTGAAGTGCAGACACACTACACACAGATCTGAAGTTAAGTGAAACAACAGATGACAATCTCTCCTGCTATCATTCTCCTGTCTTTCTTAAGTTAAATCCTACAAAATGCTTTAGTGTATTCTGCTCCCTCGCTATAAATAACACTGCATCTGATTTATCAAAGATGCCTTCATCTTCAACTCATACATTAGGACCTCAGTAGATCTCATCTGAATTTGCTTAAAGACTCAAGAAATATTGAGCAGCTATCCACACAATAAAAATTTTAATTTTTATAAGGATTTTAAAAAATATATTTTATTTTAAGGACATTATGATTTTCACATGATTTTTGTTTTAGCAATCTTTTAATATCACCAAGGCTCCAACTGTTTTTTATTTTAATATATTTTAAAATGTAATTTATTCCTGTGATGGTAAAGCTGCATTTTCAGTCATCTCATGATACTTCATAAACCATTCTAGTATCCTGATTGTCTTTTTATTGCCAGTGTATTTATATATATATATATATATATATATATATTCACTGTGTGATAATTACTGTCCTACAAGGCAACAGTTTTTGCAAGCTCACCTGAACATGATTTGCATTATCAGATATTCCTAGGCAAGGAAAAGTGACTATTAGCCACAAATCTGCTAACAAGTGGACATTGAGAAACTGGACAGAGCTTCTCTAACCCACACATCTCACTCCAGGACTCAGCACAACAGGTCCTCCACGACTTATTCACGATGAAGACATTATAAGGGAGGACAGACAGGCTGGCCAGCGATGTTTGTTCAGCATACACATGAAATCTCTGGGGTGTTCTTCCGGCTACATATACACACAGATCTGTTTTGTGTGTCTCCTCTTCTGTCTTTTATACTGCAAGTTCATTCACGCCCTCCAAACACACCAACTTCGGCTCTCTGATTAGAAAAAGAATGTAGCACAGGGGACGTGCTCAGCTAATGAAAGGACAGACGGTGTATGAGAGCGAGAGATAAGACTTCATTAACTTCAATACTGATCTGGTTGCTGGTGCTAAGAGCTCAGAGGACAGAAAAGGGCCCGTGCCACTTGGAGCTGAACAGTGTTAACGCTGACAGAGGAAGGTGGACTCTGGGTTTTTGTTCTAAATGACAGAGAAGCTAAACTAAATAAAGAGAGAGAGGCTGATGGCTGACACTTGAACACAAGCTCTGTGCAGAGGGATAGAAAAGCATCAATTTTCTCCGGTACACCTGAGCCTGTTAGACACTCTCATACTGTCCTCTCACACACAACACCTCTAAGACACATTATTAACAAACACACCATTACCTGAGACACACACATACACACTACATGGACAAGTGTTTAAGCTATTTGCATTATTTATAAAAAATAAAAAAGCACACGAAGCAAAACAAAACAAAAAAAAATTAAATACCGGCCATTATGGTACTATAAGACCATATCACGCATCCCTAATATTTTCGTACATTACTACACAAAGCGTACACATGCATCATAGACTTCCAGTGTGAGAGACTAATGCAAAAACCCTGTTTGTAATTGCCAACTGGAAACCTAGCGAGCTGCCCACCAAGACAGCATATTTTTGCCATCATCTGTTTGTGCAATTTTTTTTTAAATCAATACCCAAAAATGCTGTCATGCACGGTAGCCCATTAAGATTTGAGTCAATGCATTTCTAAAACATCTTAGTAGGGACAAGGTACTAATTGTTGCTATTAAAATTGGGGAAAAAGAAAAAAGAAAATACTACAGCAAAACGGCAATAGAAAATGGACTGCATGAAATAAATAGAAAAAAACTGAGAGAAGGGATGTAGGGTGGAGGACACTCCATTATGTGGCTGGTGAGTAAGATAATAACCTCCCCTGGTAGAGTCTAGCCAGAACACCGTGAAGGGTAGAGCAGTTGGGTCAGACCCAGAACACAGGCATCTACTGCAGGCACTCACTGGATCATGAGCACCACACTAAAGTAATATAGTAAAAAAAGCATCTGTTTTTGCCCATGAAACAGCAAGCATAAACTCAGTATGCCTGAGTCTAAGTCAAAAACAGGAATAATGAAGCTACCCAAGACTACCTGCTGAACCGAACTATACAAAATGCATGAGAGGAAAGGTTCATTGAGGATCATTTGAGTGTATGTTTTGTTCAGCATTTAGTTTGTGCCCCTGGTATCTCCTCTGGCAACACGTCTGGCTTTCAAACGTCTGCCATTTCCAGAGGAGACAGCATTTAGACTGCAGGGAACGGTTTCGAGTACAATGACAGACAGCAGGGAAAAGAACTAACAAGCAAGTACAGGAATGCACAACTCCATTATCACACCGTCTTCAGTTTCACATGCAGCCCGGTGAAGTTCAATATAAATTATTAATTTGCACACGCCGACATAAACTCTGATTAGCGTTTGTGAATGTGTGTGTGTGAGGCTGACAAGGGTGCTAGAAAACGTGTCACCACCATGTGCACAAGAACTAACAACATTGACAGCAGAACAACGAATAAAAGTGTTTAGACCAAAAATAAAGAAACAAAAAAAATTATAATAATGTACAGTGCATGTGCATGCAAACGTGTGAAAGGATATTGCCATCTTGCTGTGTAACAGGTCCTGCTGGTCGTCTGTGGAGCTGAAAGTGTCCAGATCCTTCTCCAACTGTAGCAGGTGTTTCTCCATCTGTCTCAGGCTCTTCTCAAGGTTTTCTGCTGATACTAGACACACATAGATACAGATTTAAAACAATGCACTGACACGCTTTGCTTACACCAGATCCAACATCCATGTTTCCAGATGACAAACATTCCTCAAAGACTAAGTTCTGTTGGGACAGACACACACTGGAAAGAAAAATAAGAGAGATTTCAGAGCTATAACGGAAGTGAATATTTTCAACATAAATTTCAGTCTGTTCCTCACACAAAGCTGCCGTATGGCTTCAGAAGACTCTGCAGTTCTATGGACCCCTGTTACGATGCATTTTTCATCCTTTTTGTAGCTTGACAGCAAACAATTCCTTAAAAAAAGTAGTAAGAGTTGAAGTCCACTCTCTCACAAGCAGTGTGAAGGCCTTTAGACTTCAACAGTCAAGATGTTTAATAATTTATAATCCTATGGTCTCAGTAGCATTAACCATTTTATTTCAAATCACTTTATTGCCATTTGATTGGGATTTTTGTTATGCAGCTGTTATGTTAATTGAATCTATAACAAAACACAACACACAAACAAAAAATTAAAACATTTAAAAAAGTTCCTGTACAACTACACCAGGTCTGTGTCTTTCACTAGTTCCTCACACACGCTGGTAGTTTGATGAGGTAATTATGTGACTTTAATAAGAGGCTCAGGTTTGATTAAGCAGACGCTGTTTAGAGGGGACAATCCCATACCATGCACAGTGTTAGCTAAATGTGATGGGACACATTGACTGAGCCTCATGTGTTGAGATTTGGCTTAAATATCCTCAGCTAAGCAGGATATTATTTATTGCATTTTACTGAGGAATTGTGTAAATGTTAAACTACTTAAATGGTCATCTGCTTAGTTAAGTCTGACATTTTTTTTTCTTTTGGTCCTTAATGATTTCTAACGTACAATTTGAGGCTTATAACAACTGAATGTGCCTCATACTTTTCCCATATCTTGGCCTAAAGGGCTGAAAAGCACACATTTTGCATTCAGAACAACATAAAGCTGGCACTGCCGCTTTGAGTGTGACCCAAGAGTCCAGTGCCTACACACACAGACCTATTTGTCAATCTGAATATTTGTATGGTACATTTATTCAGGCACTAAGTAACTTCAGTGCATAACTCATTTGGCACCTTGTTACATTATATGCTCTTTTGTGGTGCAACCACACAGCAATACAGAAAAAAATAGTTTTATTTGTCTTAGTATTGCTATTTGAAAAATCTGAGCTGTGTGGCCGCTAAATCTAGTCTACAGTTATACATAGATGCACTATGATACACTATTAAATGCACACTTATGCCAAACAACAAAACTATTTAAATCACTCATGCTCTTGAGATGCAACTGCAGAGTGAGCTAAGTGTGTGTGTTTGTTTGGTGTAAGGGGGTTGGTGAGTGTAAACCTACACTTGAAATGCCCATTCAGAGGGATACTTGAGAGCCAGGAACATCAGAGGACATCACTCTCTCGTGAAAGAAGAATGTCATATACACCTAGGATGGCTTGAGGATGAGTAAATCATGGGGTAATTTTCATTTATGTGTGAACAATTCCTTTACTTATTTATTTTTTCCCCAGGATTCTTTTATGACATTACAAATGTCTTTACTCTCACTTTTAATTTGTCCTAAAAGTATTAATTTCCAGATAATCCAGAAAAAATTGCTGTCTAGCTAGGTAGCTCACTAGATTTTGAAGCATATCCCTATCTTCTGGTGCCTTTTCTTAAAAGTCACTTTGGAAGCCAAGTGTGTGCCAAAGGACATAAATATAAAAGAAAGCTTCAATAACAGTCAGCAGGTGTTCTTGAAAACACTAAAGAAACCCACATGCATGAACCCTCCATTAGCAGCCGCTGAAGGAAATCATCCTAGACCTAACTATACCACAATGGGAGACAAAACCATAACTGTAAGGGAATGACATGAGCTAATTCTTAATGAAAGTATTTTCATCTCCACAAGAAAGAAAAAACATGCACCTTCTAATGCAAGCTCTAAAGAAGAGAATAATGGAAGTAATATCTGTAAAACAGTCAGAGGCTGTTTCCTGAGGGAAGTGCAGGGACAGACATTCAGCGTGGTGGGGATATGTTACCCATAATGCCATTTCAGCTTTGATGAAGGGCACAAGAGCAGTCAGCACTAATGAAATGGGGAATGGGAGGGAAAAAGATGGACAGGGAGGAAAAAAGTGAAACTAATAAAAGCTGCAGAGACAGAGCCAGGACGAGAAAGTGGACATGATAGAAAAACCTTCAAACATTCTTGGAACACAAAAGGAGATGTTTTGAACAACATCTGAGCTGTTCATTTCCACACAGTGAAACCAAATTGTGATCATGACCAATCAAGCACCATGAAAGTAGGCCTTACAGCTTGTGTGCCTATCAATATATGCAAACGCAGATCAGATTTTCAGCAAATAATGTCTTGTGGTCCTTTTGTCACAAAGCTTATCATAAAACTTCATAAGACCTCTAACATAAGTTGCATGGACCACTTCTATGGTTATTTTTGTCATGTTCAGAGCTGAATTTTAATTGCATAGAAAGGAGCAGAGCAAATATTCTGCTAACGTCTTTCATCTGCAAAGGAAGAAAGAACACCATATGGGTTTGCAGCAACATGAGGGTGAGTAAATGACAAATTGAGCAAACAGTTCATAATAAAGCCAACATGAATCAAAAATGAACCCCATTTAGGTCTTAATAAATGTCCCTGGTCTTACTGTGCATAATTCTTCAAAGCACATTATTCTTAAAATTATTTATTTTTCATAATAGTTAATATAAAAATGTAATAATGTTCCCTGCCTCTGAAATTGTCATGTTCAGCTGATGCAATCAGCACTATACAGCCAGAAAACAACAACATTAACCAATAATATTACAGCCTAACAAGTCTAACAATCCAATAAAATCCCAACTAATAAGTCCTGCCCTCCATCATTATTTGTTTCATTTAGAAAAACACAGAAGTTTCATGTTCTATTTAAACAGTTTCTCTAAGGCTGCCAGACATATAGGCAGGGCATTTTTTAAATCACTTTGTCTAATAATCCAGTTTGATTATTTGTATTTGCTCTGCCAAAAACTCTCAGTCCTGCTTTCCGGAAGCATTAGGTAATACAGTGAGTTGGTCTAGTCTTATAATCACTAGACTTATAATTGTGAGCGCACAAACACACACACACAGGCTGACATTATCTCTGTGCCCAGTGTTGCCGACAGAGCATGTGCAGCTAAATGAGACTGTGCAGAAGTCAACACAAACTCACACACAGAAACTGGTAGAGTTCATGTACTGTACGTTGTGAGAGTGACATTAAAGAACTGTTAAAGTATTCTGTAATGCTGGTAGCTATGGACTCAAAAGTTGTTGTTTTTCCCCCTCACTTTTCTGATGGTCAGCCAGGGAGTTGAGAGTGCTAAATAACCAGCAAATCATCCTATAAGGAATGAAACGAAACAAAACGAAACAAAATAAAATGAAACGAAACCTGTCCACTTTTAAATGGATACTGGTTCTGTGTGTAAATGTTCCAGTACCTCGACTGGCCTGGTCCACGTGCTGTAGATCCTCCACAAACTTCAGTACTTCAGGGAATTTCTCCTCACAGATCTCTGCCAGGAAGTGAAGCAGAGTGGACTTCTGATCAGCCGATTTAGTGTCCTTCAGCTGGGAGCCAAAGAAAGATAGAGAGGTAGAGATAGAAGAAAAGGGGGAATTCAATTATTTTTTGTGATACCAACATTAAATCAGAATAGAAAAGAAAAAATGCATAAAAAAATGAATGCAAGTATTTGCATGTTCAGAACATTTCAGAAATAGAGAGAAATCGGAGAGAGAGAATCCTGAAGGAAGCCATCAGCGTCCGCCACCTTCACGTCTGACAAGTTAATTTAATAGTACACTGAAATTGCCGCCGGACTAGAAAAGCAAGACATTTTCATTGTCAGTTATGGTTATCATTGTGGCACAAGGTTACAGGCAGTGCAAAAAGCATTTGATTAGCGTGGATAACGCAAACATTATTAAGCTCTTCTGGGTGGTGTAGCCTGACAATTTAAGAAGCTTGATTACCTGGGGGGGGGAGCAGTGATAGAGATGAAGTAAAAAATGAAGTTCCAAATATGCCCTTATGAAACGAGAGATGAAATTGGAGAAATCGACTTCCCATCTAGTCCATTTTAATACTCAACTATATCTTACACTCCATTTCTTTTAAATGTATGTGTTCTGACAGAGGCTTTGTGCTGGATATACACACAGGGTTCAACTGGATAATTGCAGAGTCAGAACATTTGGAAGCCGTGTGAAGCGTAAGACAGATGACGGAGGATGAAATTAGATTTTGTTGCTCTGCCTGAAAAGGCTTCTCAAAAGTCACACGTGTTAAGATAGAACAAAAAGGCCAGATTATACAAATTGCTTGTGCTTATTTCATCTAAGTAGTATGAAAATGACAATGGAACAAAGAAACCCAAAATATCTCATCTGATGATATCATTGGAGTCATTGATGTCTGTGAAACAATCTTAAATATTGGTTCTCAATCAGAAAAGGTTTCCTGGAAGAAAAAAAATAAAAAATCAACAACATTCATTGAGATTCTGACGTCCATGACATACTGAACCGTCCTCTGCTGATGAGATCAAACAGTGAGGCGTGTGTCATTTGCTCAAAGGGAAGTGCTTTCAAATCCTTTGACAACTAAATATGTTCGATAAACCCACTGTGAGCAAAAGAGAAAGATACTGACAGGTTAAACTCAAAATAAAACAAACAAACTATCAGATCAACCGAGGCAGAGAAAGAACATCAGGAGAGGCCCTCAGGCGAGGAACTTGAAAGGCAGAAAACAACACACTTTCTTTGTTACTCCTGCACATCAGGGACTGTATTGCTATGTGCAGATGTAGAGATGTAGTCTCTCTCTCTCTGCACTGAGGACAGTTAACTCCATTAACTCAGATGCACAAGGTCCTTAACTGGGTTTAAGGACAGATTTATGATGAGTGTGTTGATATGTAAAATAAATTAGCAGAAGATTTATATTAATGTATATTATAGACCTCAAGTTACTATATAAACATATGCACATACACACAACCATCCAAAATTTTGGGGCCAGTATTTTTTTTTTTTAATTAACAAGATTGCATTAAATTGAACAAAAGTAGCAGTAAAGACTTTTACAATTTTAAAAATAATTTTTATTTCAAACAAATGCTTTCCTTTTGAACGTTCTATTCATTGAAGGATCCTTCAAAAAAAAAGTATCATGGTTTCCACAAAAATATAAAGCAGCACAACTGTTTCCAATACTGATAATTGCTTCTTGAGCATGACATATACAATTTAGTCACCCTAATATCATTCTAAACCCATATGACTTGCTTTGTTGCATGGAAAATTTGACGAATGTGAGGAAACAGCACTAAAAAAGTTTTTAAAAATCATAAAATAAAATAAAAGTAGTCTGTATGATTTGTGCTGTTTATTCTCAGCCCTCTGAAGCTATACAATAGCTTTGTGTGAGGACCAGACCAAAACTTAGAGGCATTTCCAGACCATCTTAACATGACATGGAAAAAATCTCAGTGAACATTCTTCAGGGGTTCTACTTTTGTGTTTCACAGAAACCAGGAAGCAATTTGTGTTTGGAACAACATGAGGGTGAGAAAATAATGACTGACATTTTATTTTTGGGTTATTCCTTTATAAAAAGCCTGACTGTGAGCATGTCCACATACAGTCTTTGGCCTTTTATTAGGCCTTCTAGGCGACATGATGAGCAGGAAGGCATTTCATTATCCCGGAGAGAGTCACAAATGCAGTGATGGCCGTTCTCTGAGCTTTAGCACCATACAGAAGGGAAGGAGTGAAAGTAGTAATGGATAAAATGGATGGCTAATAAGAAAGAAAGAAAGAAAGAAAGAAAGAAAGAAAGAAAGAAAGAAAGAAAGAAAGAAAGAAAGAAAGGAGGCAGATCAAGCCAGATAAAAAAAAAAAAACTAATGCCAAGTCGCCATGGAAACCTAAGTAAATCTGCATTGCTGCGGTGGTAATTAATTATATTCCCCTTCTGCCCTTTTCCATTCACCTAAATGTGAAAATTTCACCCAAACATTATCATTAGAGGGCTTTACGCATGGTGCACCCGTGCAAAACTAGCCACCAAAATTCTAAGACAACTGCTAAGGTGTTCTGTGCGTAACATGGCAAAAGGACAAAGAAATAATCCATTAGCGTTACATTAACACACCTGACTAAACAGAAAATAAGGACTGTCCTCTTACCGTCAAGCACATATATGTCTGCATTACGTCATTACGCCGAGACTTATCTTTGAAAACAGAAGGAGCAGCCATAAAGTGGTTTTTGGTTTCTGAACTTTGATAGATGCCAGAAGATATGGCTATTGTGGTCTTGAGTGCTTGATAGTGTTAAATCAAATGAGATCTTCTCGAATGCCAGTCGTTTCTAGTGAGAGGCACTTTAGATGGGCTGGCCGATAGGGGTCAAGGTAACGGGAAATGTGCGGGAGGAGAGTGAAGGGCACAGAAGCTGCAGCCAGACGCTCGTGCCTGCTGGTGACTCAGCTTTGGCTCCTTCACAAACATCAGAGGAACACAAATTATCATCTTATCAGCTTCTTCCCAAAAACAGAAAGCAGGAGAAGAGCGTTTGATGGAAAATGCCCATGGTTTATGTGGGCGGGTATGCTTCTAATATGAAGAGACCAGATAAACAGATAAATAGTGGCTAATAATTCACAAAATGAGTAAATATGGATAGCAGGTCACATAAATGACTTAAAGGCTGGTTTTACTGGATGAGCTGATACCGCTGATGGAGGTTTTCATGGAATACACTTAATCTGTTTGTCGGAAACCAGCTCAAAACAGCCTCTAGACTTCAAGTATTTGATTCAGAAATTTCAAAGCAGTTGTTTTAGAAATGCGTAGGCTTGCATCTGACAACGCCTTCAACCACAAACAGCTCCATTTAACACTTCTGACCATATTTCAATCCATTTTGCAGACTTTGTATATGTTTCCATACACAAAATGTGGACAAAAAGTGTGCCGAATCTGTGTGGGGTTAGATATGAAACTTAAAAGGCTCTTTCTCTCTGTACGTACCTTGCAGAGCGAGCTGAGGTTAAAGCCGAAGGACTGGGCGTTCCGCGAGCCAGCGTTCATGAAGTTCCCCACGAGCAGAATGAGTTCCAGCAGCCTGCTGAAAGGTTTGCTCTTCCTCATCTCGTCACAGGCTGTGTTCACCGCCATGATGTCCGGACGCAAGTTACTCACTTGTTCTTCAAACTGCAGCTTAAACAAGATGGAGTTGAGCCTGGGCCTCAAACGCTTCACGCTACTCATCTGGAAGAACAGAAAATAAGCAGAAATCAGTGGACCTAAATGTCTATGGAATAAAACCTAAGGGCTCTTCCAAACTAAATGGCAAAAGTTCAATCTTATAATTCATTCCTGCTAAACGCAATATCAATTCAATTGAAACATACTGAATAAATCAAGGGGATTTGAGTTTAATAAAACCTCCAAATCTGAAACAAAAAATGTATTCCTGAATGAAATAAGCAAATTTATTGTCAAAATTTCTTTCAAACCTGGCTAATATATTGGATGGATTTAAATGAGTTTATTGAATTGCATACCAGTTTAAATTCTAACTAAAATCACTCACACATTAGTTAAAATCAATCATTACTTAGGTCACGTTTCTGTGGTGGAAACTAATGGTGTCAGATTAATGGTTCAAACGTAAACGTTGTTCACTCCTCTGAAACTGATCTTTCATAATGAGTATATCTACATGTATGAGTGTAATTTAAATCCTACACACATGCGTATATGTGTGTTTGTGCAGGTAGTGTGCATGTCAGGGGTTAGGGAAAGGAGGGTTGAGCAGGACCTAATTTGCCCCTATAAAAACCTATTAGCTATCACAAATTAAGTGTGTAATTAAGATACTCAATACGGAGACATGATCAATATGTCTAGATCTGTTTTCCATAATCAGATATCATCTCTTGTACATGCACGCACACTGCATTCAGTCTGCATGTGTGTATAAAGACAAATGACAATGGACCAAAAGCACAACAAATCCAAATTCAAACAAAAAGACTGATGGAAAGAAGGGGGAAAATGAGAAGAGAAGGTAAAGAAAATAGGGCAAAGCCAAATGCCTAATTTATGTGTGTAAACATTCAGCATACTTGTAGCAGGCATCTTCTGTGTGTGTCAGGCAGCGCTAATCTGCAATGAAACAGACTCAAATTCAAAGCTCTCCTAGCCATAAATGTTTGAGGGAGATTTGTACCCCCACCCCCACCCCAGCACATACAAGGAATTATTAATTAGAGCTTTTGAAAGACAGCAAAGTAATAGTTATCAGGGAGGTTCAGTGATGCTGGAAATCACATAATAGCTCATGTATATAAAACACTTTAGGGACTTCATGACACCAGACACGTGGTGCAATGAAAAAAGACAGACCGTATATTTTAAGGCATAAAATTATGCTTTCATCAATGAATTAATGATGAAAAGCTAGAAGTTTACCAAACATGTTATCTTGTAGAATCTGAACTGAAAGCTACAAAAAAAACCAAAAAAAACATGAAACAGCATTAGCAATATTTTTTCTGTTATTTCCAAATATTCCGAAAGAAAATCATGTAGGGCAGGACTTGATCTTATTCTTCAGAATTTGATTGGATCATGCTAATTATGATACTATTGGTTATGTTCCCCCAACCACACAGCCTTGGTTGCCTCAGTAGAAAGTTGTTTCAGAAGCAGAGAAAGTATTATATTGACATAGACCATCACGACAACAAAAACGTCATTTTGTTTTCTTCTTTAGAAAAACTACCCACTGATGAATTGCATACAACAAGACCAGGGAAATATAGACAGTAAATAGGGTCAATTTTGGCATTATGTTGTCTAGACATTTCACTCTTCAATTAGAGTGGCATCTTCATTAGTGAATATTCTCTTTGATCAGTGCTGGGAGCCTTTTCACCACCTAGTTCAAAGTAACACTATCTTTCTGAACAAAGCAACTATCCATATGTGGGTGTTTCTTTAACTATGGCCACATCTGGCCTTGTTGACTGAGTATAAACTCTGCTTTACTAGTCAGAGTGTGAAAAGTGTTACTTCATTTGCTTTGATTTGGTTACAAATCTTTACTGTCGCTTTTGATCAATTTAAAGAGTCTTTGCTGAATGAAAATATACAATTTCTGAAAAAAAAAAAACTTTTGAATGTGTTGAATGAGGGTTTATATTTAGGGTTTGTGATATTAAACATCTGACTGTACATTAAGCCTTAGGGTGTATTCACACCTGTCTTGTTTGGTTCGACTGAATCGAACTCAAGTTCGTTTCCCCTCTTGGTGCGGACCTTTTTGGCAGGTGTGAATATAGCAATCGCACTCGGGTGCAGACCAAACAACCGTGAAGAGGTGGTCTCGGTCCACTTCCAAACGAACTCTGGTACGGTTCGTTTAAGGTGTGAATATGACCCGACCTCGATCCGACCCAATTGCAGAAATCACACTCAGAAACAGACAGCTAGCACATATAGTGCTGTTATTTGCGTTTCAATGGCTTAAAAAAATCACTTGTTTTTAAACCACAATGCTTAAAAACATGCAAATGATGAGTTTTCGTGACCATGGCGCACAGCAACGTGACGTGAGCACGCTAAATAGGCTAAAGCTTGCCGCAAAAATTACCATGACTATGTTGGGGGAAATAGTAAGGAGATATTTGAATTATTTATTAATAAACTAGTGTTTTATGAGTCAGTGTCACAATGAAGTTGATGATCCTGACTCGCCATCTCATCATTGGACATGCTTTTAGAAAGAAATGCATCTTTACGGATGTTTTTGTTTTGGATTTGAATTATTTTGTTTTGTAGTCCTTTAAAGCTTTCTATAGATATATTCATAATGCATGTAAGGAAAATATTCGCTGAGTTTCGGTGCATTTTTGTGAAGCGCTCCTGTTCAAGTCCGAGACGGCAAGTGCATCCTATTTCCTGTTTTCTTTAATTTACAAAAGCACAAGGTTTTCTTGATATTGTGAGTGCACACAAATAAAAATAGACCCTTTACAGTTCCGAACGACGTATTATTCTTACCTTTATGAGCGGAGTCAGTGTCACAATGAAGTTGATGATCCTGACTCGCCATCTCATCATTGGACATGCTTTTAGAAAGAAATGCATCTTTACGGATGTTTTTGTTTTGGATTTGAATTATTTTGTTTTGTAGTCCTTTAAAGCTTTCTATAGATATATTCATAATGCATGTAAGGAAAATATTCGCTGAGTTTCGGTGCATTTTTGTGAAGCGCTCCTGTTCAAGTCCGAGACGGCAAGTGCATCCTATTTCCTGTTTTCTTTATTTTACAAAAGCACAAGGTTTTCTTGATATTGTGAGTGCACACAAATAAAAGTAGACACTTTGCAGTTCCGAATGATGTATAGGCTACTCTTACCTTTATGAGGAAAACGACAGCGTATTTTGTTTCCACTTCCACTAAATCGTGTTTATTTGAGAAGGCTAAACTGATCAAACATATGCTCAACTCACTGTCTGGCGCTCTACGAAAGATCTCCATGATTAGCCTGTTTTCGCACTTCCTGTTTTTCCCTGCTTGAGAATTTCTGTCCAATGAATGGATGACCTTGGCACACGTGTGGTTTTGTTTACAATTTCTGGTTCACTTGCAAAAAAAGGCAGTGTGAAAGTGAACTGCACCAAACAAAAAAAAAAAATCAACATTGTATTTGGTCCGGACCAAAGCAAGTGAACTAGCGGATTTTCCTGGTGTGAATACACCCTTACATCAGTGGTGGGCCGTCAAGGCCAGCAAAGCCTTCTCTGCTGGCCTAAACACTATCAGAATCACTGATTTAGTTTTAATATATTTTTCCATGAATGTGTATTAAATTATCTCCAATAGTCTATTCTCTTCAGTTCATAGCTTTTCTCTTGGTTGCACTGCTTCCAGCAGTATGTTTATATTAGAGCTTTTATCCAATCATATTTCAGCAATCGTGTTGCCAGGGTCAAAGAAATCTGCCTTAAGGCCTTCAGAATCAACAGTGCAGGCTTCTGTTAGCTTAAATCAATGGCAATGAAACCGTTGCTTTAACCAATCAGATTTCGAGTTGGCAAAACCAGGGCCATCTAGCTGGCTAATGATAATGTCAGCATTTTCTCGTCCTTTGATTGGATGGTCAGCATACTAGCTAGCAAACAGCATCACTGTAAATAATTTTATTAAAACTTAGTAAAACTTTTATTACCGTTTCTCAGGTTTAGATTTTCAGTGCATTTTGAAAAAATATTTGCCTACTATATTTAGTAAATCTAAAAACAGTAGTCCTAATGACTGCGAAAAACAACCACACGTTATACTGCATTACTGTGTAATATTTATGGTTTCTATAGCCGTGGCATCATTATGATGGTATGAAGAGATGGATTAATTCATGTAGGACGCCACTGAAGGCCTAGGTGTAAAATGCACGGCCCGCCACTGCCTTACATACATGTGTTGTTCAAAAAGTACATGAAACCAATTCAAATCCATCCACCCATAAAGAAAACACCATGATACCAGCTAAACTTTACTGCGCAGAGTCCTCAAGGTAAGACATTCAAATCACTCTTTAAAGTTTAAATTCAAATGCATCTGCAGACGGGAGTGGAGGTAACACCGTGCTGCCTGCCACTCAGCATGTGACGGTATTCAGAGGGGAACAACTTTTCAAGTGTTTCAAGTATTATTCCTTATCAGGAAGCTAAATCATCATTTCTCACAACCACCCAGAGTGCCTGCTGAACAACAAAAGCATTTCAATGTGTGTGCGTGTCCCAGTAGAACCTGAACACACTTGCTACGTCTCTAGTGTATATGGCCTGCTGGAAGACTCGATGGGGAACAGGACACACACACCTGTTTCATCTTTCTGCCTCTATTGTCTGGCTGAGTAAGTTTGCCTGATTTAAACTTTTTCTTGGACTGTTGCTATGGTAACAGATGATTTCTCTTCTCTGAGAGTTTTCTGGTAAGAGGTGTAATTATTTACGCTCAGCTTCACCTGACTAAAGCGAAACAGTTTATCAGGAGCTAAAAATACCGCATGCAGCCATTAAAAACATTTATTCAGTGAAACAAAGCAGATGGCTGAAATAGAAGTGTCACATATGGATAAAAACACCACATGCACACGCTTACACACAATCACTCTATATGATCTTAAGGTCCTGACAGTCGCATGCTATATTTTATGGTCCACTTAGCAGGCAGCAAACAAAGGGTTCAAAGTTCTGGCTCCAGAAAAGAACAAAGAGTACACAACTGCTTGCAATGGCACTATGGGAGATTAAGAATTCCCTTTGAACTGGATAGTTCTCTAAACTGCAAATGCATCATTTCCTGCTGCCCATGCATGCATAAACCACAGTTTCATATCCCTCATTATATAATAAACACACCAAACACAACGACAGGCCGCTCTGCTGCATGAAGCGACTCCCTTGTGCCTTTCTTTTACTTCCTATCATTTCTCACAAAATTCCAGCATCCCAGTTTTCTTAAAAAGTCAAGTGTAATGAGCCTAAGACAATGGGGGGTAGGGATGGGTACCGAAACCCGGTATTTAATCGGTCCCGGGGCTAAATTATGAAAGACCGGAGTATCGATAAGCTCTGACGTTAACGGTTCTGCTATCGGTACTGGAGAAATTAATAAAACACACATACATTTATTATTGCTATATATACATTATCTTGCAAATTCTATCTCACCAGAGTCGCCAGCTGTTTTTCAAACATTTGTCTATGATGCATTTTTGCTATTCACAATTCAGAAGCGAGATCGCGCTCACACGGAGGAGCTTCTGCACGCGCAGAATATAAAGCAATGTTAATTCAGCTCTTAATTTGTCATATATAAAACAAAAAGTACCGATAAGAATACCGTTAAAAGTACCGAATCGATAAGCAGTATTGGTAAGAGTAGTAATACCGTTAAAACCTTAACGATACCCATCCCTAATGGGGGGTGAACAAACCTGTTAGAAGCTAGCACGTTCACAAACACGATAATTAATATGGGAATCTCTAGCAGGATCAGCCGCTGAACTGTGCCCTTGGCGATTGAGCGGACTGATTGATCAATTATTCAGTGGTGAGCAGCATGTATTTAAACCATGACAAATCCAAACGGGGGCAAAAGACACAATTTCATGTGAATTGGAGTCTGACAATCTTTTAAACCTAAATTTCACACATCTTGACAGAGTTGAGAAAAGCTCTGAATCTGATATCACACATTCAGAGATGGGTTGTCAGAAACAATCAAATATGAGAAAAGCCTTCATTACCATGTCAAATGACAACTCCTGAACATATTACATAGGAAAAATGACTATTAAAATTCAACTCTATCCTACAGTGATACCTAAAACACAGCACAGAGGACCGTAAAGTTACAGCTGATATGAGTGTTTTTTTTTCTCTTCTGGAAAAAACTCTCTAAACTGTGTTAAATAAAAATTGCTTCATATCAAGATGGACATCACTGAAAGTAATGATAACTCTCAGTCAGATGCTGATTCAGTAGCTAATCAGTGATCTAGCAAGTTCATTTAGCAAAGGATTCATCAAACTGATTTTAATTGGTATTGAGGAAATAATTTGGTAATCATAACTGTTAACAATTTGGTAAATCAATTAAGGGTGCACTGACATAATAAATATACTGATATTTAGACAATTATTTTCATGTTATGGCTGATTATTAGTGTTATTTAATTAGTGTGCATGTTAGATGATGACAAATGTAATTTAAATGCACAAATAGGGGAGATTCACGCAATTAATTGACAGATTAAAAAAGTTTCTATGGTACAGATATATTGGCAATTTCTATTTAAATCACAGTTCAGACTGCTAAACCATAATCTGGGCAAATATAATTCTGTTTGCTTTGGTGCTAGAGATTCAGCAACAAAAGAGCCATGGAGGAGACACTGCTTTTTCCTATGTCAGTTCCAATGTGCTTGAGACAACTATAAGTTTAGTTTTCCTCCAAAAAGTGTAAACACTGGCACTTTTAAAACATTACTCTGGCTCAACCAGAAAACAGCTTGGTACTTGTGTGAAACATCAATTTATAATTTAAAACCTTATTCACTAAGAGCTTGAGCAAGATCTGTTTTACTAACTACAGAGGAAACAGTAAAGACAGCTGAGTTAAAACTGTGTTAATATGTGTCAGGTCTACCATATGCATTTTCCATTAGAGAATAACAGTAATTCTTTCTCTGTTCAGAGTCACAGTACACATCTTGGGTCGTAAAATATGTAGTTGTTTTGTTTGTGACAAGAAGATGATATCTGTTTCAATTTAAGAGAATAAATCTTGTGTAGAGGGACAGACACAACATTGATCTTAGAAAAGTTTAAATAAAGAGTGACTGATGACTTCTAACTGGACGCGTCACTAATCGTGTATACAGTGCCAACAACACAGAACGGTGTGTGTGTGTGGAATTTACCACTACTCCAAACTGCTCCGGTTCAGAGAGGTTGGCATATTCGCTCTTGTACTTGACCAGTGCGTTCAGCTGCTCCTGATCAGGCAGGTACTTCACGAGATTCTGGAGGGGAGAACAAAACAAAGAACTTATGTTACAAAGAATGTGTGCTACATTCATTCAATTAGCAGTTCAACTTTAACCTGCGATCTAATTGTTGCTGGTGTAGTTAGTGTCTAGCAATTTAGTGGAGATCCTCATCTAAATCGACTCTCTGGTGTTTAATGACACACTAGACTAATTGAAGGGATGATATATCACCCTGGAGAACTCCGAGGTTAAGCATCTTGCTCAAGACCAAAACGACACTTGAGCAGACCGGTGATCTCAGTAACCCTATTGGGATTCATACAGTTTAATTCATTTTATTCAAAAAAAAAATACAAATAAATAGAAATGCTAGCATTTAGTTTACAATAAGCGTATTTTGATTCAGATTATTTTATTTAAAAACAGTTTATTTAAAAACATTACTAGCAGTTTTGTAATAACTATATTGCAATATATACCATTATCTCATTTTATTAAAATAATAGAAATGCTATAATTTGTTAGATATTTTTAATGATATTTAGTTTTTATTTATTTACTTTGATTAAAAATAGCAATACTAGCATTTAGCTTGCAGTTCATACAGTTTATTTTATTTTTTAAAAATAATAATAATGCTAGCACTTGTTTTGCTAGCACTGCTATTTCTTGTCTGGACGAGTTGACACTAGTTGCTGAAAGTCAGAGCCAGTCTGCAGATTTTAATTTGACAAATTTCATAGAAAACTACGTAGTGTTTGATGGTCACAGATGAACTGATTTTTTTAGATTCAGACTATGATTTCATCCAGTCAGTGATATCAAACATGATTGATATTTCGAGCTGATTTTAGAAACCATATTGTTTTCATTTGTCACGCATCTCCTAGCAACAAGGCATGTTTCTTTGTGAGTTTGCTGTGTTCGGAATGTCTTGAACGTCTGGTAGTGTGTCATCCTCAGTCGTTTAGTGTATGATGCCCAGTTTTTCCTCTGTTTACAAAATCGCAAATGTATGATGTCTTGTTTTTTAAAATCTGTTCAAATTTTAAAAGTTGTGTAGTGCATTTCAGCTATTATAATTTTGGCCAAATTCTAGAGTTATAGAAGTGCACTTAAGATTACACATTGGAAGTCCACCGATGTTCTATTGTACTTTTCAAAGAAAGTTGTAAAAGAGTTGAAAGGAATTGACACCATTAGGCTAAAACAGTTTCACGGTTTTATCTGAAAGCACTGGTAGAATTGTGATGTTTCGTTATCCCATTCAAGTGTCTCTTTCCTCTTATCAGTTGTCAATCTCCACTAAATCTAGCTTATAAAATGAAAAGACTAAAAATAAATAAATAAATGATTGTTTTAGCAGCAATTTAATCAGTTTTATGCATGCAATCCTGTGAACAAGTCTATCCACAGCGTGTGTTCTCTCATGGGTAAACTCTCATGTACCCTTGTCACTCTCCACGAAATCATTAAATTGCAGATATATATGGATCTCCAGCAATTCTCATTTATTAACGTATTGCGATCTTGTTATTTTTCCAAGTCGAATCTGTAACTCATAGGTATTGTCATAAAGTACTACAATATAAATCCACTTTTAATTAACTGCTTATCTGTGGGATTTCAAACATGTTTTATTTGTCGAGTCAGAAAATAAAGCACCTGCTCTCGAGCCTCTGACTTCAGAAGGAAAAACTTAAAAGCTTCATATACCATATATATGAACTTGTCCAACTCATCTCCAAATGGCCACTTCATTAGTGCACAGACATGAGCCTAGTAGACGGATGGCCACATTCATCTATGTCACCACCAAAACGAAATATAAAGCACAGATGCAGATGGCTATTTCTGTTGTTCCCATCTCAGTCATTTAGATAAACATGAGGCTGCTTTTAAGTGTTAAGCAGTATAAAATAACAAAGCTCTGTTATGGATCTAAAGTAGTGGATATTTTAAAACTATAATAGTGAATGAGAACCTGCTGTGCACTGAGCTACTGAAGAATACATAAAGCTGAGCCTGACATCAGTGCTGGATGATAAAAAGCAGGGGAAAATCAAAGGGAGAGAGAATGTTTAATGTATAAACACAAAAATGAAATATATGAATTTAAACCACGCAACAGTAGAAATGTGCTAACCAACAGATTCTGCTATGCTGCTGTGCAGTATTTCTATAATGCGATTTATAAAAATCAATAGTGTGTATTGACTCCGTCAGATGCTTCTAGTGTAGATAGTTTCCTTGATTATAATGGCAGCAAATTAGTTCTGATGTGCACACTGCATGTGTCCGGTGTAAGCACTGTGTTACTTGTTTACGGTTGCTCAGCAACAAAGCACAATTACTGTAGAAGTGATGTGTGGTCAGTGGTCATTCATGCTATCACAGGTGTGCGAACATATGCTATTTTACATAGAATTCAAACTATCACTACTTACTGTTATGAGACTTATTTTAACTCAAGTATTGCATAGTGTGAAGCTGTTTAATTGCGCTGGTGCCAGGCCTTTTTAGCATGCGTCATTTGTTTGGTTTACATCCATGAAGTTCCAAAAAATGAAGAAATAAAGAAGAGACAAGGAGAGTAAGTAAATTAAAACAAGAAATAATAAAACACTATATATACATATAAATATAAATATATACAAAGGGAGAAAACCTTTCATTTCTACCATTCACAGTATTCAGAATAAACGGTATTCAGAATACCTGGCCTGGTTACCAAGTATCAGTTATACTGTACAAGCAGTAATAACTGATCCGTTAACCAGGCTGCTGAAAAATGCACCCTGAATTCCTCACATTTGAGGCAGTATTCTTTGAACATGGGCATGCTTGAAAGGTCATGAATGGTGATGAGAGGTGATGTTACCTGGATCATGGGCTCAGTCAGCTGATCCTCGTCCACCTCTAAAATAATTCTCCTGATCTCCTCGTAGGGCATACGGAATGACCCCAGGAAAATGGCTAAAGGTTAGAGAGAGAGAGAGAGAGAGAGAGAGAGAGATTGCATCAAGATCTCCCTGCAGTAATTCATCAACAGGCCACACACTCTCTTTGTTTTGTGTGCATGTGTGTGTCCACTGCATGGTGATAATATCTGATAAAAAAAGAATGAATGAGCTTGATGTCTTCTGCATTTGGAACTTACTTCAACTAGTTGAGACGAGGGCCAGACGAGAACTTCAGCAGTATCAAGATAACATTCATATATCAAGACAGCAGGGTTTTCACCTCTGCCTGCTTTTGTCACAAATACTCACAATTCCTGAGCTAAAATCCGATTTCAGAAAGAACGGCAATAAAGGGAAGGTGAGAGAATGAGTTAGTGAATGACAGAAAAGGGTGAGGGACAGTGATCTGACTGCCGGGGTGTTCAGCTGGGACAGAAACATTACATTTCTCCCTTTCCCTTTTATTACAGAACTCTGCTTATTGCCACAGAGACACTCAGGCAAATGAATTAGTGTAAATACATGCAAATGAAAGACAGATAAAGAGAAAAGGAAGAGGAGGGAAAGGCGGTTTAAAAGTTTAAAAAACAGGTGCAAAGAGAAGTGTGTGCGAAAGAGGAAGAGAGAGACAAGATATTGCATATAACAGCACAAGACAGGTGTTATTGTATACTTCAAGGTTCTGAGAAAGAAAGAGAAGTAAGGACATGAGGAAAAAAGGACACCTGAAAACTTGTTTTGATCCGCATACCTTTCTATACAGAAAAAGCAGTATGGAAATAACTTTTTAATATTGTTTTCAAAACAAAAAAAAAAATCATCAAAAATGAAAGCGAAAAGACAAGTCTAAAACGTTACAGTATTTTTTCAGCTCATCTGCACTATGTTTGTCATTGTTGGTCGATGCCAGGGTTCCTAAATAGGCAGCCCACGGGCCCGTGAGAGAAAAAAAGTTTGGCCCGTGCTAATTTCAAATAATGTGGCATGAATATTCAAACGCAGCATCAGAAAGCTACATTAACTTACATTGTGTCTACACTGGATGCGAGCAGCGCGGCGCAATAAAATGCAATAGAACTCCAAATCCACGAAAGTAAACTGCTGACTCATTCTATTTATAACGTACTGACACAACGTTCAAATGATTTGCAATGCTTTGTCGCGTCCAGTGTAGATTCGATGTGACAGCAAAAACATGGTGAGTGTAGCATATACGAAGTGTCCTCAACCTAGAATTAAACGAGACCGCCTTCATAGGACAGGCGGAAAAGGAAGCCGGAAGTATCACGTTACTATGCCAACACACTTAGAGCATCGTTGCGCTCTCACACTACTTAAATGAAGGAAAATTATTTCTAAATTTGGAAAGTAATTTGAAAAAAAAAATGGTTTTACTTTTTACTTTGTTTTATTTTGTTCATTGAGGAGCTGCAGCGTACATACAGCAGACATCTGAAAAAAGGAGGAGGATATTAAAAACAAAGTTTATCCGTTTTTACCGAGGCGATTTAAGGTAAGTTGGTGTACATCTTGTGCTTGTATGTACATCTGCCGGCTCCGGCATTTTTCAAATTAACGACGGTTGTTTACGGCGACGCAAAGAATTGTGGGTTATCTGTAGCAGCAAAGGATACACCTCATGCATCCTCCGAATTCCTGTAAAAGAAGGTCGCATTCAGAGTGCCCTACTTGCTTTTCTGAAATGAGACGTATGCAGCCTTCGAATGCGACCTCCGGAGGGCGCAGCCTTCTAAATGAGACACAGCTATATATATATATATATAATCCCATATCGCTTATTGTCACGTGTCGCTGTCGCGGGTGGTTAGAACTACCTGAGATTATAGCTGTCTTATTTTCTATGTTGTTCCTAAATAAAACCGTTTCTAAAATAGAATCCCATGTTGCTTATTGTCACGTGTCGCTGTCGCGGGCGGTTAGAACAAAAACTACATGGAAAAGATACCTTTTATCGCGTCGTGTCTGGTTGGGACACACGGTGTTACAGTTTGATCCCGCCCAAAAAAATCTAAGTATACAAATGTTGATACTGACAAATCTAATAATTGAATCTGCAATTAGGGATAGTGGAGAGAAGAGATCCAGGCTGGAGATGAGCAGGAACAGTTGATTTGCATGGCAGACATGGCGATCCAGATTTTTTGTTTGTTCGTTTGTTTTTAATATTCAACAGACAAAGTTCTTCTGTATCTAAATGCAAAAATGTTCATAATTTTTCATAACAGACTACTGGGAAAAAAAATCTGAATATTCATCTTTTGATTATTTTAACAAAAGCAACAATAATATAATAATTGT